AATTTTGTGGTTTTATTTTGAAAAACAAATGAACGATTTTTTTTTTCTCCGCACCGGCAAAGAATCAGATAAACCACGCCCACAAAACCAACCAATCAGAGCGAAGATGTGGGACAACGCCTCCAAAACAAAACCACATCATGTTTTTAAGTTCTGATGAAATATGAATCGGTCTTGACGCAATTTTTGGCCTTTTTTTGTTTCTTTTTTTGCTAATGAATAAAAAAATCGTGGACTTTTAGATTAGCGTTGATCGAAAAAGACGCTTTAATCAAACGAGTTTTATGTAATTGTGAAACGTGAAGTGACTTTGTACTCTCCACAAGAAATATTACACAGTGCACCTTTAACTTTTGGCTATAATCTCACAGTATTTTCTTGTGAAACAATAATAATAATGATGTAAGAATCTTAGACTTTTAGAAATTCTGAATGAAATGACGTTTTTTTGTGACTGACACATTTTGCTGCTGTGGATAAATCTGCAATAATAATAAGATCATAAGAAGAATATTTCAGGGGCTCGTGATGTTTCAATGTGTCTCTGTTTTTTGTTAAACGGCGGAAAATGAAAGCGAAAGCGAAAGTGAAAGTAAAGCTTCAAATCACATCCAAGATCCAAAGTGAGTGTTGTTGCTGAAGCCCGAGTGCCTTGATTCAATTAAAAGTTCTGTATTTTCCGTGAACAGTTTCTCCGCAACGATCGATAGAAGAAAAAAACCAAAAACTTAAAGTAGAGCGTCCAGATTTACACAAGAAATGTCCCGGGTGTTTCTATTTTTGACAAATCTGATCCTCAACAGTAAAGAGAGACATAAACTGACTTTGTTTCGGTAAAATACAAAAAAATCAGCTTAAAAACGACCAAAAACACAAAGAAAATGTGACGAAACTGACTCATTTTCGTCCAGACTAATGTCAAAACTACCACTTCATGACATCACAAGGTGGAACAGAGCGTTTGGAGCTTTGGAGTTTGTAGGCAGAGTCATAATAACAACGAGTCTCTCTCCCTTTTTCTGTATAGTCCTGGTTTAGTCCTGGTTTAGACCTGGTTTAGTCCTGGTTTAGACCTGGTTTAGACCTGGTCTGGTTCACTCGGGGGTCAGACATTTGTAGTTTTGTGTTTTAAAGCTGAACAGTCATGAGATAAAAACACTCGACTTTATAAAAAAATTTAAAAAAAATCTGTACATTTTGTTTTGTCTGGAAAAACTCCAGACTCCAGACTCAGGGTCAAAGTTAGAAGAATCAAACACGAAACACAAACAGTTTTACTCCTGAAACTAAACCAGGACTAAACCAGGTCTAAACCAGAACTAAACCAGGTCTGAACCAGGTCTAAACCAGGACTAAACCAGAACTAAACCAGGACTCAACCAGGTCTGAACCAGGTCTAAACCAGGTCTAAACCAGGACTAAACCAGAACTAAACCAGAACTAAACCAGGACTAAACCAGTTCTAAACCAGGACTAAACCAGGACTCAACCAGGTCTAAACCAGGTCTAAACCAGAACTAAACCAGGTCTAAACCAGGTCTAAACTAGGTCTAAACCAGGTCTAAACCAGGGCTAAACCAGGACTGAACCAGGTCTAAACCAGGTCTGAACCAGGTTTAAACCAGGTCTAAACCAGGACTAAACCAGGACTGAAACCAGGTCTAAACCAGGACTAAACCAGGACTAAACCAGGACTAAACCAGGTCTAAACCAGGTCTAAACCAGGACTAAACCAGGACTCAACCAGGTCTAAACCAGGTCTAAAATCAGTTCTAAACCAGGTCTAAACCAGGACTAAACCAGGACTCAACCAGGTCTAAACCAGGACTCAACCAGGTCTAAACCAGGACTCAACCAGGTCTAAACCAGGTTTAAACCAGGTCTAAACCAGGTTCAGGTTTCCTCAAAAATCCATTCAGCGTTGTTCTCTTAAAAATAACCACTGGAATCGATCGATTAAAATCAAAAAGAATTTATTCCCTAAACAACACAGTTCTAATCCAGAGCTCAGGTCAGATCTTTGTCCCTGACGCCTGCGGCTGCACACGTCTTCAATCAGGCAAATCTGACGCCTCTGAATCCCTCAAATCAGATTTTATAAACATCCATATGAATATGCAGATAACATGTTGAACAGGAAACACCTTGAATCTTCTGGAGTTTCTCTCTGTTCCTTTAGGTTTAGGAAGTTGACATCAGCCAAATGTAAATCACCAGTTTGTTTAGTTTCTCACCAGGACGAACCATCTCCACTGCTGCTTTACAATGAACTTCCTTAAAAGGACACAACCTGTATCTGCAAAGGATGTCCTCAAAAACATACATGTTTCACACAGTGGTGCCTTTAAACATACAGAAGATTTCAGTGGTTAAACACCTCAATGTGTAATAGTCAAACAAATATATAAATTCAATGTTTAATATGCACATCAAAAAACTTCACCATTTGGTTCAGGCTTCAAGGTCTAAACTCTTTCTTCATTATCCTCAGTCCTGTTTTTCCTCGGACTGAGACGTCTCTATTTTCCTCTCTTTTTTTTTTTTTTTTTTTTTGTGGGTCTTTTATTTTGGCGAGGCTCTGAGTGCGTCTCCATGGAAACTGCAGCGGAGGTGAGAAGCGCCTGGACAAACAAACTCCACAAACTCCATCAGCGCGTCCAAGAGAAACGCTCCGAGTCCAAGTCCGAGTCCCAGTCCGAGTCCAAGTCCAAGTCCCAGTCCGAGTCCCAGTCTGAGCCACAGTCCAAGTCCCAGTCCAAGTCCCAGTCCCAGTCCGAGTCCGAGCCACAGTCCAAGTCCCAGTCCAAGTCCCAGTCCCAGTCCGAGTCCGAGCCACAGTCCAAGTCCCAGTCCGAGCCACAGTCCAAGTCCCAGTCCAGTCCCAGTCCGAGTCCCAGTCCAAGTCCAAGTCCCAGTCCGAGCCACAGTCCAAGTCCAAGTCCCAGTCCCAGTCCAAGTCCAAGTCCGAGTCCCAGTCTGAGCCACAGTCCAAGTCCCAGTCCAAGTCCCAGTCCGAGTCCGAGCCACAGTCCAAGAGAAACGCTTCCGAGTCCCAGTCCGAGCCACAGTCCAAGTCCCAGTCCAAGTCCCAGTCCCAGTCCGAGTCCGAGCCACAGTCCAAGTCCCAGTCCAAGTCCCAGTCCCAGTCCGAGTCCGAGCCACAGTCCAAGTCCCAGTCCGAGCCACAGTCCAAGTCCCAGTCCGAGCCACAGTCCAAGTCCAAGTCCCAGTCCCAGTCCGAGTCCACAGTCCAAGTTCCAAGTCCGAGCCACAGTCCAAGTCCGAGTCCGTCCAGTCCACAGTCCAAGTCCAAGTCCCAGTCCGAGCCACAGTCCAAGTCCAAGTTCCGAGTCCGAGCCACAGTCCAAGTCCCGAGTCCGAGCCACAGTCCAAGTCCAAGTCCGAGTCCGAGTCCGAGCCACAGTTCCAAGTCCAAGTCCGAGCCCAGTCCAAGTCCAAGTCCCGAGTCCGAGTCCACAGTCCAAGTCCACAGTCCCAGTCCCAGTCCAAGTCCAGTCCCAGTCCGAGTCCCAGTCCGAGCCAGTCCAAGTCCAAGTCCAGAGTCCGAGTCCGAGCCACAGTCCAAGTCCGAGTCCGAGCCACAGTCCAAGTCCGAGTCCGAGCCCACAAGTCCAAGTCCGAGTCCGAGTCCACAGTCCAAGTCCAAGTCCGAGCCACAGTCCAAGTCCAAGTCCAAGTCCAAGTCCGAGTCCACAGTCCAAAGTCCAAGTCCGAGTCCGAGCCAACAGTCCAAGTCCAAGTCCCAGTCCGAGCCACAGTCCAAGTCCGAGTCCCAGTCCGAGCCACAGTCCAAGTCCGAGTCCCAGTCCGAGCCACAGTCCAAAGTCCAAGTCCGAGTCCGAGCCACAGTCCAAGTCCGAGTCCCAGTCCGAGCCACAGTCCAAGTCCGAGTCCGAGTCCGAGCCAACAGTCCAAGTCCGAGTCCCAGTCCGAGCCACAGTCCAGTCCAAGTCCGAGTCCCAGTCCGAGCCACAGTCCAAGTCCGAGTCACAGTCCAGTCCAGTCCAAGTCCAAGTCCGAGCCAGTCCAAGTCCAAGTCCCAGTCCAAGTCCCAGTCCAGTCCGAGTCCCAAGTCCGACAGTCCAGTCCAGTCCAAGTCCAAGTCCGAGTCCCAGTGAGTCCGAGCCAGTCCAGTCCAAAGTCCAAGTCCCAGTCCGAGCCACAGTCCAAGTCCGAGTCCCAGTCCGAGTCCCCACAGTCCGAGTCCCGAGCCACAGTCCAAGTCCCAGTCCAAGTCCGAGCCACAGTCCAAGTCCA